TACCAACCACAATCACCGCCAAACTACCAATACCCGGAAATGCCTCAAACCCAACCACAATACCAACCCCAATACCAGCAAACCCACATACCCCATACACAATTTCAATCTTCCACATATCCCAATATGGCGCCCTCAACATCCAGCCTTAGCCCTGATATGGGAATGTCAGAAGATTATGACCAACCCGACCAAACCTACCATCAACCACCATATCACCAAACAACCCAACATCCACAATACCAAACACCCCAAGATCCATTTCCTTTCTACCCCCCATACTCAGACGACCAATGCTACCGACCAACCATGGAACCCCACCCACCGCCAACATGACCAAACTTCGAGGGTATGGGTAACCGACTGTACCAGAGCGGATCTTCGAGATATGGAGATCTTACCGATTTTATGGATTCGGATCGCATTGACTTCGCTGGGCCATCGACCTTGCCGCAGCAGGAAACGAGACGGCACCCAGCAAGAGAAAGGCGGGGACGGGGATGCGGAACTGGGGGTCATTACCGGGTTCCTGGGGATCACTGATGTATCTTTTTTTTTCCCAGTATTTTTTTGTATCTATTTTTTTACTGTTCTTTAAATGTAAAACAGTTGAATGTAATTATTTTTTTTTAAATAAAAAATCCATTTTGTTTATCTCTGTCTAATACGCAACGCGCAGGAAAGAAACAAAAAATTTTTTTTGACCTAATTTTGTACATAGGCGCCATCTCACTTGGCTTAGGGCTTGCCCTTTGCCCTTAGGCGCCAAGTGAGATGGCGCCTCCCTTAAAAAAATAGGAGGATGCGCCAAATGAGATGGCTCCTCCTTTGTGGAGCCATCTCAAACATGGTTATTTGCGTAATTTTTTCCGAAACCCGGTTATTTGCGAAATATTTTTTTAATACATGGTTATTAATAAAAAAAATTCGTTGACTTTTGATCAGTTGATTGTAAATCAACTATCAATCAATTGATCTTGAGCAATGTTTTGAGTCATGCCATTAGGTCAAAACGATGCAATTGAAATATTGAGATCATGCTTCAAACCAATTAACTATTTTCTAGGTCAAAAATCAGAAATTGCTCTTTCTCAGTCAAAACCCTAATTTTGACCATTTTGCCCTTTTGATGATCTGATCAAATTTCTTGAGGAATTATGGTCCAAACTTGATCAAATGATACATATGAGTTTATAATGTTGATATGGATAAAAAATTATGAAGTTTGACTGTAAATTGGCCACAATTGACTTTTTCCCCAATACAGCTGATTTTTAGGTCAATTGCTCAATTGACTGAACAAAAATGTGATCCAAGGCTTGAAATTTGACATGAGTAACCTTGTGGGTCCATAATGATCCATGAAAGTCATATGAGGCATTAAAAGTTCAATTATCCTTGTACCCTAATTTCAGTCATCAGTGCTTAAGGAGGTGTCTTGAGTTGATTAATCCTTGTACAGTCTTGAACCAATAGGGATCTTGTGAGAAAATATTTGATAAATGAGAGGGAAAATTTTGGGGTACAACAATTACCTTCACCTATTTGCATCAATTCTCATAGTTATCTATTTTCAGAATTGGAAGACTTGCTGGATAGTTTCCATTCCCATAATTCACCGCCATCGTGATTTCTTCTTCTTCCCTTTATCGCTTCTTGATCGCTCTTCTCTTGAATCGATCAACTGGAGCTCTTGATACCAGATGTTAGAAATCCACCAAAACCTATGATGAATTTCTATCAATCTTGATGAACAAGATTTTTATCACTCACACAATGACAATGAAAAGAAAAAAAATTAAAGAAGAAAAGAGATTTAAGATTTCTGCAGAGTAACTCTCTGCCCACAAACAGTGGAAAATTTTTATTCACTTACAACTGTAAATACTGTGAATATGCAATGAATACAAGAATAAGGGTTACTCCCTCTAGTTATAGCTTTAGGTTAGCTTGCTATCTAAAGTCAAAAAGCCCACAACTATAAACGCCCAAAATACATATTTCGGAACTAAATCAAATTTGTGTGAAACAACTGCTTTGATACACTATCTAGACTAATTTGACATACATACACACTGGATGTTTCGACACACCTTTTGCCGAGCAACATCCTGCTTCGACACAAGGAATTACACATTGTTCAATGTATATCAATATTTTTGTAAAAGAAAGTAAACAAGTGTAAGTTGTAAAATATTCTTTTACAATAATTCAGCCAACCAACGGTCCGAAAAAGGAGTTAAAAAATTGACAAAGAGAACCGAATCAATTTTAAAAATATTTTAAAAATCGAATCAAATGAAAAATAAGAGGAATTAAAATTAAAATCAAACCGAATAAAAAACTAAAAATGAATAGGCTAAAACAAATTTAAATTTTTTATTAAAATAATATATATATATATATATATATATATATATATATATATATATATATATATATATATATATATATATATATATATATATATATATATATATATATATATATATATATATATATATATATATATATATATATATATATATATATATATATATATATATATATATATATATATATATATATATATATTTAATAATGATTAAGTTTGAATAAAATGACCAGTGTGCTACGCTTCGATATTTCGAACCGGTATACTAAATCAACAAGTTAAATTTAATTTGATTTTAAGGAAATTGTAACAATTCGATTAGATTGAGTACAATTTGATTTTCTAATTTACTTTGTTACATGAAACACCTAGTAAGAATATGTTAGGTGTAAGGGTAAGAATATGTTAGGTGTAAGGGTGAGTGATTATAGTCTCACATTGTCTATGAATGGATGAAATGTTGGATTTATAAGAGAGAGGGTCCACTTACCTAATACCTTAAGGTTTTGGGTTGAGATGTGGCGTCTGTCTCTCTTGTGGTCCTGAAGCATTGGTCCCGTTGATGTTCCCGACTCTCCCAGACTCCCCAACAGTGGTATCGAGCCGTGGTTCGGCTTGATGGGGGAGTCCCATATTGCCTATGAATGGGTGAAATGTTAAATTTATAAGAGAGATGACCCATTTACCTAACACCTTAAGATTTTGGATTAGCGTCTACCTCTCTTGTGGTCTTGGAACATTGGTCTCATTGGTGCTCCCGACTCTCCCGGACTCCCCAACAGAATCATAATTCCACTTAAGGGTGAATGTTTAAAAAATCTATGAATTGAACTGCTCAACCAAACTGAATTTAAAATAATCAAACTATTATGTTTGGTTAGTGAATCAAATCATATTACACAAACAGTTCTAGAACCGAATTGAAATTAAAATCGAATTGAAGTTAAAATTGATCCGAACCAAAATTGAAAATAAAATATACGAAAAAAAAGTTTTTTTTTTATTTTTTTAAATTGAAAAATAATTTAACGGTTCGAATACAGTTTAAAGTTTTAAAACGGTATACCAAATTAATAATTTTAATTCAATTCAACTAAAAATAAATTGAAACGGTTCGATTCGAGTAAACTTTTCCTATAATTCAATTCGATTTAATTCAATTTTCATCTTAAACTTGAACCGTACCGAAAACATTAATTCCCCTAATAGTTTAAGAAATAAAATAGAAACAATGTTGTAGAGTGATTGAATGATATTTCTATTTGAAAGTAAAAATTAAGTTTTTGTACCTCAATCAAACAGACAAACTTTAAATAAAAACCAGTGTTAAAAAATCACTTCAAAGTTTCCTTTAAACCTCAAAATATAATAAACCCGCTCAATATTTTCAAGCACTATGTTAATTTTTCAGTAACTTTGAATAAAAAAGAGTTCACTGTTTTAAGAAAAAAGCACTCCACATTCTTTTTTGTTTTCAAATTTTCTCCTACTTTCAATTTCCATGTTGAAATAAAAATAAAAAACAATATCGAGGATATTCTTTTGTCCCCACAAGATCATTAATTGCCCAAGGTTTTTAACATGAACAAGTATACGAATGTGACAACTACATTCAAACTTTCGGTAGATTTCGACAAACAAGACACTACACAATTTTGGCATTACTTTTCTACACACTCATCTCAAAACCAAATATATTTTAAGAATAATGACAATAACTTTGTCACCAAGTAATTAATGAATTTTAGATTTTTCCACACTTCTCATGTGGGTCACATAAAAAATCACCCTTTAAAAATGTCAAAAATAAATAATAATTCATAATCACTTATACCATTCTGTAACAATATATTGATGCTGCCAAAACGCATCCCCTAAGTAATTACATTCATCTTCAGATGGTATAAAAAATGTGAAAGGAAGAATAATGGTTTTTTTTTTTGTATCAACAGCTATCAATTTTGTTGTCACTATGATGAGAATCAGAATCCTAATTGTCATGAAGTTTTTAGTACCTGAGTCTGTAAATTTTTGTATGTAATCATCTGTCCTGCACGTGAAAAATGTATATATCAGTAAGTGCTTAACTAACCAAACAGAGCCTTATGCATTTAGTAATGTCATAATATTAATGTATGAGAGTTTTATCCTATGAAACACGGACACAGACACCAGATCAGACACTGGTAATAATTTAGAAAAATGAATAAATTGAACGTAATCATAAGTGTTAGTGCCGTATCAATGTCCGACACGGACACGGATGCGGACATGGTATAGAGGTTCTATTTGGGTTGACGCAAGTGATCATGAGTCTCGAATTGAATCATAATTATATACAAGGAGGAGCATATCTTGATTATAAAGTAGGCTTAAACTGGCACATATCTCGTCGGGATCAAAGGAAAGTATCTTGAGGATATTTTGTTGTCCATGTTTGATATTATTGATTATATAAAAAAGTGATTGTTTAGATGTATGTATGATATGACAGATGAAAACTAATATCAGAATGATAAGAGAAAGTTGCAGGAGTAGATTATGTTGGATCACTAACCTCTATCGGTATTTTCGAGCAACCAAAAGCATTATCCCTTTGCTGTTAGATACAATAAGCTGAAAATTTTCAACTTTTCAGCAGTTTAAGTTTTTCAAGAACTTCCTTCATCGACGGTCGAATAGAAAGAGTCTCTTCTGTGCAAGTTAACGCGATCTTTAAAAGCTCGAGCAACTTTTCTCTTGGTCCTGATTCCCACAAAGCAGATGAAAAAAGCTCAGAACAACGATCTTCGGTCATTAGAAGCTCCGCCCACGGTACTATATTGAATCCGTTTCCGTAATTAGAGAACGACGGATCGAGCGACCTTCTTCCCGATATCAATTCTAACAGCACAACGCCGTAGCTATAAACGTCCGCTTTGTCAGAAACTCTACATGTGGTGGCATATTCAGGTGCAACGTAACCGAACGTGCCGGCCACGTCGGTAGTTGCATGAGTCTCGGATACCTCCAGCAGCCGTGCCAAGCCAAAATCAGACAGATAGGCATTAAAGTTCTCGTCGAGTAAAATGTTGCTAGGTTTGATATCTCGGTGAACTATGCGGGGAACACAAGAGTAATGAAGGTAAGCAAGGGCTGAGGCAATACCTTTTGCTATTTTGTAAATAACCGGCCACTGCACGTTTTTCCCTGACCTACTATGTATGAAAGCTTCAAGGTTTCCACCAGAGAGGTAATTGTAAATCAACAGCATTTCAGATTTTCCTACATAATAGCCAATTAGAGTCACGAGATTCTTGTGTCGAATTCTCCCGAGCGTTCTGATTTCCGTTTCAAACTGTTGTATGCCTTGAAATTTACCTATCAAAAGCCGCTTAATGGCAACAAAAAAACCTGGAAATAGCTCTGCCTTGTAAGTTGACCCGAACCCACCAGCGCCGATTAGATAACGGATGCTGAAATTCCCGGCAGCTCTGACAACACTATCATAACTCAATTCAATTGGAACAGCTTGAAAAGTCACCACTTCTCGCCTTCTAATGCTGCTTCGCCGAGTCATTTTTCTCCTTCTAAAACAAATCACCAACACTGTTACCAAAAGGGCGCATAGAGCCGCAGAAGCAAAAGCGGCCACCACAATAACCACGGTTCTTGTTTTCTTCCTTTTACGACGACTCTCAGAATTATTGTCTGCAATAGGAACTGGGGTAGGAGCAGGCGAGTCAAAGTATGGATCAGGGCAAGAGTGCAGATATTTATTCCCTTTAAATGAATCACAATCAATCGGGTGTTGAAGACGAGGAATATGACCGGAAAGATTGTTGAAAGAAACATCTAATTGAACAAGATTGGAAAAAGCGGCAACATATAAAGGTATTTCCCCAGAAAGGTTGTTGTGATCTAGCAACATAGTTTCAAGACTTGTTGTATTCGACAAAGTTTCTGGAATTGTTCCGATTAGAGAATTGTGAGACAGGTTCAAAACAACAAGGGAAGTCAATCTACCAAGCTGGTAAGGAATTTCCCCTGTTAAATTGTTTCCTCCTAGAAGCAACCATTTCATGTTTTGTAGATTTCCCAACTGATTCAGCAGCGCTCCTGATAATTTGTTCTCTGTCAAATCAAGACGTCGAAGTAACGCCAAGTGACCTATATCAGGTACAATTGATCCATCGATTTGATTGTATGCTGCGTCAAAATCTATCAACTGCTGGCAGTTCAGAAACAATGCTTGAGAAATCTGACCGTAGAGTTGGTTCACACTGATGTTAACCGATAATGTCTTGAGTTCATTACAGTTTGAAACTAACTGATACGGAAGAGTTCCGTGGAATTTATTATTATTCAGAGACAGCATGTACGATACGTTACGATTTGCAGTAAAATGATTATCTCCAATAATGAACAACGGTAAAGATCCAACGAAACTGTTCCAGCTGAAATCATGAATAACGACAGAAGTCTCTTCGAAACCTAATCCGACAAAAGCATTCTCTTGAAATCTCAAAACACGTACGTTATAGTATTTATCATTCAAACCTTCCGATTCTAGAAACACATGTTCTAGTGCAGCAAAGGCATTACTCGATGGACACGTTTCTTTCCGAAAATCTGGCAGCACGCCAGAGATATTATTCCTGCTTACGTTGAAATACATCATACAAGAAACACGGAGCTGATCCAACGCCAAATATCCCGCTAAATTGTTAGAACTCAAGTCCAAGAAAGTCAAATTCCGACACATCCCTAAACTCGCGGGCACGACACCAGTAACATAATTCTCAGCCAAATTGAGTATTCTAAGAGAGCACGACGAATCTGTCCATTCAACAGGTAACCGTCCGCCAAGATTCGCTCTCGGGGCCCACAAAATCTCCAAACTCGAAAGCGACAAAACTGCATGAGGAATATCCCCAACAAAAGCATTGAATTCACCTCTAAATTTATCCTCCAACAAACTACCCCGCGTCAGAACCGCCGCGATCATCAAACAAATCAGTAAGAACAAGCACAGACAACTTCAAACAATTACCTAACAGTTTCGGGATTCTCCCAGTGAGACTGTTTCGCGAAACATCAAGAACACGAAGTTCGACCGCAAGCCCAATCTCAAGAGGCATTTTACCTTCCAATATATTCCCATCAACCAAAAGGGTCCTCAAGTTTCTACATTTCCCAAATTGAGGAGGAATCTCACCAGTCAAAAAATTATGAGACAGTTTCAAATGCCTCAAAGAATCACAACCAACAGAATCATTCACAGGAATCGAACCAGAAAATTGATTATCAGACAAATCAACAATTTTCATATTCTTAGAAAAAATAAACCCATTCGGAATACTACCAGAAAAAGCATTACCAGATAGATTAACAAGTTTAAGCGATTCAAAATAACTCATCTGTAAAGACACATTTCCTGAAAAGTTGTTACCTTGAAGCTCAAGAACCTCAAGTCCCCGGAGATTCATCAAACTCAGCGGAATTTCGCCAAAGAAGATGTTTTCAGGAATCGACAAAACTCGAAGCTCGGATAACTCTCCGATGGAAGACGCCAGTTCACCGCCGCGTAGACCGGTCACATTAAGTGAAACCACTCTTCCGTTTCCTCTTCCGCCTCCGCCGCAAGTGACACCATGCCAGCTGCAGAATGTGGAGGATGAACCGTATGTCCAACCGGAGAGAAGATTTGAAGGGTCTGAAGAGACGGAGTGTTTGAAGTTGAGAAGCGACAATGCATCTTCGGGAATCGAATGATTGATGGCATTTGCGAAGATGAGAAAGGGGTGCAAAGAGAAGAAACTGAAAGAGAGTTTGAAAAACACGACCCATGTTTGAAAAAGAGAGAGAATGAAGATGAGAAATGAATTGGGTTTTCTTAAAGATGAAAGCTTTAAAAGCTAACCATTTTTTCCGGCGGGTTTGCCGGAGAAAGGAAGTGCGGCGGAGTTGAGGGCGGTGGTGAGGTGGAGAGTGTGAATGGCAAGGCGAGTTATTTACGTTGAAAAAGACACTAATGATCTCATTTGGAGCCAAAACGGTAACATCTCTATCAAAAACAAACAAAATAACACTATGTTTGGTTACTACTTGCTTTGAACATTTCATTATGATGTGTTTATTTATTTTCAACTTTTATGGATTTTACTTTAAATTACAATTTTTTAATTTTAAATTTAAATATCATTTTTATATTCATTTTTAATTTAATTTTATAAATAATTATTAAAATATAAATTATTTTAATAATAATTAATTTTATAAAATTAATATTCTTCACTGCATAATTATATAAATTAATAAGTAGATTATTTTTTTATAAATGAAATATTCTATGTTATTACATAATTAATCTTCGAGTTTTTTTTTTTTTGGCAAGTAGAATTGATTTTATCTTTGAAATTTTCTTATAATTTTATAATTTTTTTATTAATAATTAACTTGTTTAAAATCAACTTGATAAAGATGACATCAAAATGATCAATTCTAAAATTTAAATGAAATTGAAATGTTGGTATTCAATTAAAAAATTTGCATTTATTTCCCATAGCCTAAATACACATGTTGTACTATGCATATCTTACTTTCAATTTTAATGTTACAATATGTACATTGCACTATAAAAGTAAGCATAAAAATGTAGCAATGTTTGATAAAATTTAGTAGATAGATATCTGATGAATTATTTATTTTATTGATATATATATATATATATATATATATATATATATATATATATATATATAAATATAAATATATATATATATATATAACTATATATATATATATAAATATATATATATTATATATATTATATATATATATATATATATATATATATAATATATATATATATATATATATATATATAATATATATTAATTGATAAAATTTTAAAAAATTAAGGATTAAATATTTTGAAGTAGTAAACTTAAATTTCATTTAATTATTTAAAATAGTTTTAAAATGTTGTATGTGTGAGTTTTTAATGATTATTACTATTTCGTCTACAAATAAAAAAATTATAACAATTAAAATCTAATATATTTTGAAGTTAGAAATTTAAATTTTATTTTTAGTCATTTAAAACTTATTGATATAATATATACTTTTCTTATTATTAAATTAATTGTATTCAAGAATTTAAAAAAAAAACATTTTCAATTTAAATTTCTACTTTATAAAAATTATTAATTGAAAAAAATAAATATAACAATAAACACTAATATAGTATTTTAAAAGCTTAATATTATTTGTCATGTATTTTAAACTCGAATATAATAATAAATACAATTAATTTTTGTCTATTAATTTAATTAAGTATCATATTTTATCTCTTAACTTTTTAATATGTTAATCTTTTTGATTTAATTAGTGAAAAAAATTTAAAAATATATCATTAAATTT